TCTTATTCTACCACTAACTCTCTCTCTTTCTTACTACTACTACTTACTTACTTCTTCTTACTCTCTCTTCTCTCCTCTCTCTATATATATATATATATATATATATATATATATATATATATATATATATGTGTGTATATGTATATATATAATAAAATCTTTTGTTCTCTCTCTTCCTATTTTTGATGTGAAGACATATTTAACAATTTTTAATAGTTGTATTTTCGTATCTGTATATCGCATTTGCAAGTCTTCGCTACCGAATTAGCATATAACGAGAATGGATGTTCATATAGATTTCATCTCAGATTCGATGACAACTTTATTTCGTAATTAAAAAGTATACGTGGTGGCACAATCGCGTTTTCCCAAGATGTGTACTACACTAGGGATGCGTTCTCTCTTCATATATATATTATTTATATATTATATATACAACTATTTACAAAGGTTCACACTGTGTGCGAGTGCGTTGTGGATTTGCAGTTAAAAAAATAAAAACCCACCTATACAATAGATGTTACACCAATTAGTTACCTATGTACGTATGTATGCATAATCACTATCATTTGCTTGTCATTAGATCTACTACTAAAAGACATCTATTTGCTTCATTTATATATTCAAATATATATATATTTATATACATACTGTGAACTAGTTTAAATCGGCCTAGACATACGTGTACAAGATAAACGGATACAAAAATAGAGCGACTAAAAACCTCCCATCAATCTATATACAACCTATTGTACATATCCAAATTAATGCATGCTCATCAGATAGCAACTCACTGATAGAGTAAACGTGCAGGAGTATGTCTCGAACATAACGAGAATTGAGACAAGCCTTTTATGCACGTCTCATTGGCTCATTCACCGACAACTCGTGGAAGATTTGTTCTCTTTTGATTCAACAACAATAACTTTAACAATAAGACGTACAACGCTGTAAACGTCTAGAAATGGCACGAACTTGGCAGCTATGTGGGAGCAAACGAAATCAGCCTTCACCTTAATCATCACATTACGAAAAACAATAATCACCTTGTGATTTTTCTGCAGTGTTAGGCTTGAGAGTCCCCTAAACATCAAAACAATACACAAAAGTAAATTTGTGCAATTTCGTTCGTCGGAATGTGTCCTGCGCATTCCGTCATCTACTTCCAGCTGCCAGGGGTCAGCACCATCACACAGTGTAGCAACACTCCTTGCGGACAGAGGCTGCCACGATGACTCTGAAAGATATCTCATCTGTAACTGCATATCTGGCTGCTAGAGGGTGCCACCTTACAAGGCATAGTCACAACTGTAGTTGCACTCCTGGATGATAGGGGAGCCGTTGGAATCACATGGAGTAGACACCGTCCACGCACAGTCCCACTTCTCGCCGCCAGGGGGCGCCGCCACCACTGCGATCACACGGCGTAGTCGCGCCTGTAGCTGCCCGGGTGCGGCGACTCCTGGCTGTGCGGGGGCAGCACCATCTCGCAGCCTGCCGCAACCGCGCCGACGTACGCCGACGCCGCTTTGTCGACGTGGTGCGTGGCAGAGGGCGCCGGCGGGCCGTGACCCATGTGCGGCGTCGTCGCCTGCGAGAATATGTCGCCACGGAACACCTGCGGGGTTATGAAGGTCGGTCGGTAGGGCTGCTTGTCCATCGGGTGTGGCTGCTCGACCACGTGCGCGTGCGCGTGCGGCAGCATTGGCTGTGCCATCTGGTGGTCCACGTGGGCGTTGTTGCCGCACTTGTGCAGGTTCAGGTAGCCGGGCTCCGGGAACGAGGCGTGGCACACCTGCAACAGCGCGAGAAAACGCGTGAGGACGCGGCACCCTCTAGCGTGTAGAATTACCAATGGCCAAGCTTTGCCAAAAATAAACGCATACTTCCACACGATCTAGATTGACTTTACACACTATGCGCCCTCTGGCGTGTAAAATTAACAATGGATCTTTGCCCGAAAATAAGTGAAACGCTTCCAAATGCTCTAGATTAACTTTACACACCATGTACCCAGGCTTTCAGATTTAAAAGGAAAGGAGGACTACTAATGACTCCCCTAGGACACCATAGGGGGTCTTTTCATGCTCCATAATCACACCCTTAAGAGGCATGATGGAGAGCTCCACTAAAAAATCACACCCTTAAGAGGCATGATGGAGAGCTCCACTAAAAATCACACCTTTAAAAGGGATGATGGAGAGCTCCTTGAGGGCTCTCCATCATGCCTCTTGGGGTGTGATGATGGAATCATGACCAATCCTCAGTCTAGAGTGAAATCCAAAACGAAAATTGGGATGTCATGTCAATCTACTGATTATCATTCATCTTCACCTTCATTCATTCAATGGCTTCGTCAGGATTACATTCTTTTCATCCAACATCCCAACACTAGCACACAGATTAATAAAAGAGTTGATCGGATGTAAAAATAAACTTGTTTTATTTATTCTGATTTCCATCCTTAGAGATTCTAATCCATGTACCTGCATATTTCAGCACAATCCATCAACAACAAACTAGCCAAATTACTTGTACGTAGTAGCCACGTATCCAGCCCTACGACTGTTTCACGTCGGCAGAAAACCACTTCTCGCCACGTATAGTAGAAAACGAGCAGGTAACTTGTGGCTACCGTATAGGTACCTGTATTTGGATGCTGTTGTTTAGTTGTATTTATATATATATATAAACCAGAGGGTAGTAACCAGACCTGTACCTCTGCCATACGTTCAGTCACTTACACACCACAAATTGTTGTGTGTTGCTAACCTTTTTGTACCCCCCTACATTGAGAACTCTATGGAGCGCTATTTCAACATAATAGACATACTTTTGGTGCGCGATTTCAACCACTTTTATGAGGCGCGATGACGCGCGCACCAAGGCACAATTTCAGGTGCGCGGTGGAGCGCGAGCGCGATCGCGCCCCTTAAAAATGAAAGCCTGTGTACCTGGACTGGAGTCATTACCAAAGTACTCATTAGTGATTGGACAGAAACTACAGGCACACGCACACACGCACGGGCCACACCCAACATAGTACCTGGCACATGTATGTGTTCTCCATCGCGGCGTGCGAGCGCAGGTGGTGGTTCAGATGCTCCTGCTCGCCGAACGCCGCTGCGCACAGGTGGCAGCGATGCGACGCAGCCTTCTCCATCGCCGCGTGTGCGTGCATGTGCTGCGACAGCTGAGCCTGGTCCGGCAGCGCCGCGTGGCACAGCGCACACGTGTACTGCTTGTCCGTTGCTGCCGCCGCGGCTCCGTGAACGCGCAGGTGCTGCGCCAAGTGGTCTCGCTCAACGTACGCCGCCGCGCACAGGTGACACTTGTAGGGTTTCTCGGCGACGGGATGCTGCGCTCGCAGGTGGGCGGCGAGGTAGTCCTGCGCGGCGAATGCTGCAGGGCACGCGCGGCACCGGTAGCGGTAGCGGTCCTCGGCATGCGTGCGGAGGTGCTGAGCGAGGTGGTCTCGCTCGGTGAACGCCGCGGGACACGCGCCACACTTGTGAGCGTACGGCTTGTCCCCGCGCGCCATCGCCGGGGGAAGGGGAGCCGGTGGGGGTGCCGCCGGCAAGGGAGGAGGAGGGGGCGCCGGCGGGCGAGTCTTGTGCGCACGCGTGTGAGCGGCGAGCTGCTCTCGCGAGGAGAAGCATGCGGGGCAGGCAGCGCAGCGGTAGGTCAGCTCCACGGCGTGCACCACCGCGTGCTTGCTGAGGTCGCCCTTGCGGGAGAACGCAGCCGCGCAGCGATCGCACTTGTACGGCTTTTCGCCGAGGTGCGTGTGCATGTGCTTGCGCAGTGTGCTGGGGTCGGCGTACGCCGCCGCGCACACCTCGCACACGCACGGTTTCTCCCCAGTGTGAATGCGCATGTGGATCTTCAGGTAGGACGAGTAGCTGAACGAGGCGAAGCACTCCTCACAGCGATAGGGCTTTTCGCCCGTGTGCTTGTACATGTGCGTCTTCAGGTGGTAGGTCTGCGTGAACGCCGCCGCGCACTCGCTGCACTTGTACGGCTTCTCTCCCGTGTGCGTGCGCATGTGCTGCACGAGCGTGTAGCTGCGCGGGAAGGACAGCCCGCACACCTCGCACGCAAACGGCTTCTCCCCTGTATGGATCAGTCGGTGTCGCTTCAGGTCACCCTTCTGGGAGAACGATGCCAAGCAGTCACCGCACGCGTACGGTTTCTCGCCCGAGTGCGTACGCCAGTGTGTCTGCAGGCGGTACTTCTGCGCAAAGGTGGCGTCGCAGGCATCGCACTTGTAGGGGCGCGCGAGCGGCGTCGGGCTGTGCGTGCGCATGTGCTGCCGCATGTTGTACTTGCGGGCGAACGCGTAGTCACACACGCGGCACACGTGCGGACGGTCACGTGTGTGCGTGCGCAGGTGCTCCTTGAGGTTGCCGCGTCGCAGGAAGGTCGCCGAGCAGGTCGGGCAGCGGTGCGCGCGCGAGCCTGTGTGCGTAGCAAGGTGCGCCCGCATCGTCTTCTGCTTCGAGAACGGCATGTCGCACACGCGGCAGTGGTAGGGTTTCTCTCCGCGATGCTTCGCGTCCATGTGACCCTTCAGTTGGCGCTTGAGCTCGAACGCCGCCGGGCACGCGACGCACTTGTAGCGCGGCTCCTTCGTCCCGCCTCCGTCCGTCCCCGGCGCTGCTGCCGCGCATGCTCGCTTGTTTCGCCGCATCGGCCTCCCTGCTGCGTCGTCGCTCGCAGGAGCTTCGACGCCCGGAGCGATAAACGCCTCGGTATTGTTCGTCGAGTCTCCGTTCAAGAGCTGGTTGGTGGTAGCGCGTGTCATCTGCCGCGTGGTGGCGCCGGTGTCGGGCAGCATCTAGCAGCGACAAGTTAGGGTTTAGTACTGTTACACTGGGTTTACACTGCCAACTTTATGTTGGCGAATTGGACCAATTTCGCAATTCGGCAACTCCGAGTTGGCGAAAATATAACATGTTCTAATCTCCCAACTAGTTGCTATCGACCAGTTGCTCGCGCAACTTTCGCGTTTACACTGCCGATTGTCGGTTATATAGTTGTGAAGTTGGTCCAGTTCGCTTCAATGGTCAATAATTTCCTAATTTAACCCCAACTTACCCCTGACAGCTAAAATATCGAACACGATCATTTATTTCTTACATATGAGTTACGATGGTTTATAAATACATACAGCCTACGCTTTTCATTCACTCGTAACATACACAAACTTACAGAACTCTCAGAATCAGCTGCTGCCGGTGCTGGTACAGATCCCGCTGCTGATGCTGCTGCTGCTCTACGGGCCGATCGCTTCACAGTGGGTCTTGGCTGGGTTGCGCGAGGCTTTCGCTGCTTTGCAGTGGAAGAGGTCTTTCGCTCCTTCGCTGACAACTTCCCGTGAATCATCGCCATCACGGCCGACAGCTGAGTCTTTGGAGGACCCTGGACAATACACAATAACATGATGCTCTCCTAAATATGTTACCCTTGCTCTCGTTGTCTCTCTCTCTCTTCCCCTTAAATATACGTATGTGTTTAATTACGGACTATTGGCGGGGTTTCAGAAACCCCATCACTCTTTTTTTACGATTATGACATGAAGTAACCGGTGCAATGGCTAGTTTCATTCCTCCCGACAGGCCTGTAATGAAGCTAAGAGGTATATATTCTTACCATGATATTACCTATGATATCAGAAGTAGATAATAGGGAATTCCCTACGGATTTCCCTATTATCTACTTCTGATAATATGCACATAATTATGCCCTTTGCTCTGCCACGTTTTCACGCACATTTGGGTTCAGTCGCGAAACTTATCACAGGCACTTGGAACGTCTAAATAAAAAAAAATAATGGTAAATAAACACGAAATGTACCAAAGTCTTAATGTTTCTCTACTCTATTTTGCCTATAATCACCTGTAAATGCCGGTCAAATGCTCATCTGCAACACACAAGTACACCGAACGCCCGACCGCGCTGTGCTGCGTGCACAAACAACATGAATAAGACAGCAGGTAGGAAAGCGGGATTGAAAAATTCGTTCGACGCTCGCTTCATTTCTCACCATCACAGTTCGAATACACATCCTACAGCTTCCATATTGGTATCTATGTGTACATAAATGTTCACTTGTTCGAATTATAACTCTGGCCTTTGTTCTTACCTACTCCCGCCAGAGATATCTCGTGAAATCCTGCAGGAAATGTTCTCTCCGTGAAAATGTAAAGAGGACAAGATGTCTGTTTATAAATACACGAGTAATGGGGCACATTGCATGCCGGGATGAGCTGCTGCCGGCCTCCGAGCTCCATTTCGAGGCCCGCCAAGCCAAGCACAACGCGCGCGGGCATGACGTCACGCACACACGACTACAGCAATCGATCGAAAGTAGTGCCGTTAGGGATTTTTGGATGATAACGTCCTCTTTACATTTTCACGGAGAGAACATTTCCTGCAGGATTTCACGAGATATCTCGGTTCAAGGATAGAGGTGATGTCCGGGACAGTGATTGAATATGATGTTTATTACTGGACATGCTCTCTATCCTTGAGCCGATATCTCTGGCGGGAGTAGGTAAGAACAAAGGCCAGAGTTATAATTCGAACAAATGAACATTTATGTACACATAGATACCAAGATGAAAGCTGTAGGATGTGTATTCGAGCTGTGATGGTGTGAAATGAAGCGAGCGTCGAACGAATTTTCCAATCCCGCTTTCCTACCTGCTCTCTTATTCATGTTGTTTGTGCACGCAGCACAGCGCGGTCGGGCGTTCGGTGTACTTGTGTGTTGCAGATGAGCATTTGACCGGCATTTACAGGTGATTATAGG